ACATGTAAATCATCATTCTTATTACGTGCCATAATGATAATGAACATAGTTGAAATTAACCAAAAAAAAAAGTTCATTCACCATCAATGTCCTTGGTCGGTTATGGATGAAGATCATCTTACTGTTGGAAAAAAATGTTTTTTTCTTTGGAATTTTTCGAAAACTGACTATGAATAACCTACACCTGAATAACAAATGATAACAGTTTTTTGTTTTGTTTTGTTTATATGATGGCGCGGTTCCTGTTTGTCAGCAACAACAACAGCATATAAAAGCGACAAAGAAAAAAAAGCGAAAAATTCAGAACAATAGGAAGACCCTAACGAACAGGCAACAACGAAAAAAAAAAAAATAATAAAGGTTCATATTGTCATCAAAGGTGATGATGACGATGATGATCCAAAAAACTATGCATAAATCTTATGCCATTCGTATATAACCTGCTGAGAACAAATGACAATCATTCGATCCTATCCGATCCAATCTGATTCGATCAGTACAGTTTTTATTTTCTCGGTAACCTTAACAAAATAATTAGATTGATAATGTTTTTTCCGCAGCATAGTTTGCATGTTTCAGGGGGTTTATGTTACATTTTTTTGTTGTTGTTGTTTTCATTATTTTTTTTTCTTGTAGAGGTGTTCTTATCTTTTTTTTCTGCTCCCGATATACACAAACTATTGTGAAGATTTAATCAACGAAGAAGAAGAAGAAAAATGAAGAAGCGAAGAAAGGAACATTTTTAATCAAAAAAATTTTTGTTTTTCATTGTGTTCTATGGTTTGGGCTCAATCAAAAATTTAGCAAAAAAGGTAAAAAAAAAATAAGCGAAATCTTTTGTGTGTATGAATGTGTTGTTTTGGTGTATGCATACACAAAATGCAACTTGTGACACCTTTTGTGTATTTGTCTATTTGATGATCTTTGTATGATCAACATAGCCGACCCCCATACCATATTTTGTTTCATCCCCTCATTGACTCGTCTCTAGTCGTTTTTCTTTTGCTTCTTTCAAAATGTCCATGTTTCGATTAGCTACCAGTGTTGTTTGCCCTATCAACGATAACATGGCTTTGGACAATGAATTTTTGAATGAATAGAATCTCTGAATGAATGAATGAATGAAAAGGTGTTGGTCCACGAAAAGACTTTTTTACCGACCGACACCTTGTGTCCAATTTTTTTTAATAAAAAAATTTCAATTGAATTTTTTAAGCAATGATTTTTTTTTTTGTCCAAGCAAAAGAAGAAGAAGAAACAGCAGAAAAAAATAGATCTAATCAACCAAAGTTTTTTTTCTTTCTTTTTGCTGGATGAATGTGAATATGAACACCTCTAAAATAGAGAGAGAGAGAGAGAGAGAGAGATAGTGACAATTGAATTTCAGGAACGTCGGATCGAAACAAATGATTGTTTCATTTTTTTTGGACGATTTTTCAATTTTTAAGTATGTAATGCAAGTAAGTAATATATTTGACAAATGTAAGGCCGTTAATGATTTCAAGTGAAATGAATAAGTAGAAAAAAATAGTGTTTCAAATATTTTTTATGAAATCTTTATATAAAAAACATTGATATTTATCATATATGATAAAAAGAGGGTGAAGCTTACGGTTGGATGAATCTTTCATGAAAATATTTTGAAACTTTTTCATTATGGAAAAAAGAAATCTTTTCATTGAACTAAATTTTTTGATTGTAAACAGTAATAGATTTTTTTCAAGGGAAAAAATTTCTTGTTTAATTTTCAACACTTCTTGTTACCTTAAATCTAATATATAACAAACAAATAAAAATACTAATGCTAACCAAAATGGAAAGGATTAATTCACTACTTACACATTGGAATAAAATTTGATGATCAAACCGGTGTAATAAAATACCAGAATTTAATCTGAATCTGAAGATTTCACTCAAATAGATGAAATTAATCAATCACTTTCAAAAAAAATATTAGAATTGATGGCACCAAACAGTCTGTCAATTCTTGACAAACAAATAAAACACACATACAAATAGCAAATGTTGTTTATAAGCAAATAAAATTACAATAACAATTTTTTGATATTGCCACAATGATTATAATGATTGATACATAATAATAATATATCGTATCAAATGATATACTTTCACATAGAGATATATTACTATTTCCTTTTTTATTTCTGATGATTTTTTGAGAGTAGTCTGTTTGCTCAAAAAAAACAATTGCAATTTATGATGGCAGGTTTGTTTTATTTTATTTCTGATGATTAGCTGTTTATAAGACAATATCATTTTTTGGTTGCTTCTTACAAACAAAAAAAATTTCTAAATGACACTTATACAACTTTGGGTCCGTTTGTTTAAGATTGATTATCATTGAAATAATCTTATGAATGAATGTCTTACTATTGAATGATGATGATGATAATGATTGAATCGGATACGATCATTCTTATCATGTTATCATTACTAAATGGTGATATTTTTTTTATGTATTTCAATTCAAATATATGAATGAAACAACAACAACAAAAAACAATGCTTTCTACGTTTGTTGATGATGCCGACAAATGTACAGATTAACATTTGTCATTAAAAAATATCACTGGTATTAAGATAACAAACAAAACAAAACGAAAAAAAGACCAGGTGTCATAAATCACCACACCAAACCACTTGTTGGTTTGGTTTGGTTAGGTTAGTTAAAGTGCAATGGAAAATGCACACACTAGGCATCAAATTGTGAGATTTATCTTTGTCGAAAAAAAAGAAGACAAAAACAGGATGTTTATGTTGTTTTTTGGGTAAAAGATATACGAAAATGTTAAAAATAGCAACAAATGCACACAAATAATTACAAAAGCAACATTTGGAAAAAAAATTGGGACCAAAACTGGAGAAAAGAAAAAACAAAACAAGAAAAAGAACAATAAATACAAATTCTTCACGGGAAAATGTCATACATACAAAGCTGTATACCCAAATATATAAAGACTAAAGAATGGAATCAATGTTTTCAATTTCTTAAAACATAATTGAAAATGTAACAATTTTTCGATTTTGGTTCGTAGGCCGATGGGAGTTTCTACAAGACAAACGAAGAAGAAAAAAAGAAGTATATTTATTTATGTAATCTGTAAATCGGATTTGAATTCGATTTCAATTTTGTCAATCATTTTGCCTGTCAATTCCAGATATTGAATAAATTTTTTTTTCTTCATAACTTATTTACTGTTGTTGAGATGGATGCAAAATTTTATCAATACATTTTCAACATCGTGCTTCGATCTAAAATGATTTCGTCATTTTTTCATTCGTCGTCATTCTTATAATCTTTTTTTTTTTTTTTTTTTTTGGATAATATCTTTCGAATATTATCCATTTGATTCGAATATTTCTTGATGCTGATTTAGCTGCCATCTTTTGATACAGCATTCAAATGTTTTCAAATTTATAATTCATCAAGAAATGAATACTTTTTTCAAAAAAAAAATCAAACAAATTATTTCAGAATCAGAACTTCAATCCCATAAATTTTGTTTCATTGATCCAAATCTAATCAATACCACAGATTCATAGTCATGCATTAAAGGATTGCAATCATTCAATCTAACTCATATTAATCGATTAGTTGAAATGATATTTGTCAAAAAAAAAAACATCATCATTGATTGATTAATCGTCGTCAATGACATATATTGTCGGCATCCATTGTTGACAGGAAAAAAAGTCATCTAACCAATCAACCAACTGTCGAGAAGATTAACAGATTCATATTGCATAATAAGTAGTAGTCAAACAATGGAAAAAAAATTTAATTTTTTTTACACTTGCTGTCATTTGCTATCATCATCCATCGTGATTATCGATAAATTTTTCATTTTCAACGTTGTCGCGGTAAATAAAAGATAAAAACAAAAAAAAAGATGCCGCAATTATCGAACTGATGTACACATATTGCCAATATGCATTTATATGCATGGATACACCTGTCATTTTTAGATTTGGATGTGTTTGCTAAAAGATTTATGGGATTGTTTTCTTTCTACACTTATGATGATGATGATGATCAATGATGACAACCACAAAAAAAATACCGAGGTGATGTTTAATGTCAAAAGAAAAAATCTTCTTCCTCTTAGATATTTATACATGACTATCTTTTGTGTCAAAATTTCCAAAGAAAAAAATATATATTTTGCAATTTTTTGTAAATCTTTATGATTTTGCCGAAAAAAATAAAGCTTAGCTTTGTTATCAATCATTACCGACATTTGTTTTTTTATTTTGTTAGATCAATATCTGACAATATTTCATATTGATTCGATCAATGTCAATATTATACATGAATGAAAAAAAATAGCTACCTGTATTTTTCAATTTCATAATCACATGCTATTTTTTGAAAAAAATAATTTAAAAAAATTGTAGAATTTGTTTCGAAGATAGATATTTATTGTGTTGCAATAGTCAAAACACTATTCTGCTATCATTGATATTATTTTAAATATTCTTATTTGAGAAAAAAAACGAATTTCAAGGTTGATCACAATGATGATCAGCAAATATTTGCAAATAGTTCAAGTACGATCAGATGATATTTTCGTTTAAATGTTAAAAGTAATTACCTTTCATTTTTGAAAAAAATCAATAATTTATACAAATAGTCTAAATTAGAATTTTATTATTTTCACATGGTCGATATCTTTAGCAATCGGAAATTTTTTACAATAATATTTTTATTTTAAAAAAAATAATCACCTGAATAAAATTATTTTTCTCATTTCTTTTTTGTCTTTTTCTGTGCAATGACGTTGAAAAATTCTAATTCTGTTATAATGGATCAAAATGTACAAGAAATTAACTCAATTTCGACAATTTTCCAGATGTATTTCAAACATTCACAACAATATATTCAACGAATCAATTATTCAATGTTTGAATATCGAACTCATTCGATACCGTTCAGAAAACGTTGTTTTAGAGCATTATTCTATTTCAGTACCTCCTTATACATGGCATTTATAATGATTATGGCAACTCATATTCCATACATAAGATTTTTCTTAGAAATCAAACAGCAAATGTTGGGATTCAAGGATATGCGATTGTATGGATCATTTTCAGGGGTGATTATATTGATGGACACATATAAATGGTATTCTACTTTTCAAAAATTAATCAATTATCGATATCCATTGAATGAAATTCTGATTAAATTGGATCAAACAGTGGATGAAAACTTGAATACTTCAAATCGACAAACATTGATTCAATTTTTCGCTAAATCTTTTCGATTCACATTTAAACTGAATACTTTATTTAAATATGGTTTTTATTTGACATCTATAAAAATGACCTATATTTTAACGATGGAATTTTTGGAAGCAAAAATCTCAATCAATCAATTATTAATTGGCATTTTAACTTCTCTACTAATGTTTTCAAATATTGATCATTTTATAATGGGTATCTCTATGGAGTTGATTTATTTAGTGTTCAGTTTGGGCTATCTCAAAATTAACATGAGGCAATTGATCGGAGAGGTAAGAAAATGGAAATCGATCCGGAATCGTCGAAAGGCAATTTTTCAAAAAGATTTTCGTTGTTATTATTTACGTCATTATTGTGAAATGGTTCATTTTAGAAACATGCAGGGCAATTTTCTCATGTTTATTGAGTTAATGTCGAAAAGTTTGTGTATGATCATGGTAATTTCTTGCGCTAAAACAACAAAGTTTAACGTGAATACATATTTCATGATTGTGGTATTTATTATGACATTCATCTATGCAGAAATTGTTTTTATTGCGATATCTTCATTTCCAAAATACAATGAAAAATTTTTCAAAATGCTTTATGATTGGAATGCCAGAAATTTATCGCAATTGATTCGAACAAATATAATTAAATTCAAGCGGATAATTTGCTTACGAGAAATAATTAAACGAAATCTATTCTTGCAAGCAATTTCTCGTAATTCTTATGGATTTTATTTTGGACAGGTTTTTTTCATTGACAAATTGAAACTAATCGAAATGTTTTTATTTAATTTTGTATTCTTTATTTTGTTATATAAAAAAATGGTTATATGATGTTTTCAACATTCATACAACGGATTTTAGGAAAGTTTTAAATTTATTCACATTTTATTTCATTCTATGCATATTATTTAAAACATTTGTTCACCAAAATTTTACATTTAATTCATTCATATTGATGACCTAATTAAAAAACAAAAATTATTATATTTTCACATCATTGGTATCTTGATGATGCACACACACACACATAGAGACACGGTCAAGGTTTTATCCATAAATCTGATCAAAAAAAAAACGACTACAAATCTTTCCACTTGTGTACGTAGCCATTATATTTTTTTTTTATATTTTCAAACATTATCATCAGAACAACAATTATGATTATATTTCACCATCAAACAATGGAATGAATCAATCAAAAAAAACGTAATTCAACATTTCATTTCATTGCAGCTCTTTATTAAATTTCTTGGTGCATCCTTTTCTTTATTACTGAGGTTATCATCATTTCAACGAAAATAATAATGAAAAAGTTCATCGAAATTAATCAAAAACAAAAAGCTTATTACAAAATTGTTAGTCAATAACGTAGTATTGTTGATGATCAAAAATTTTTCTTTTTAAAATGATTTTTTTTCTTTCGCAAATAATTATTGATTACGTGACATAAGACTTGTTTTACTGTTTCAATTTGAAAAACAAAAATTGTCATTTCCATAAAAGTATTTTTTTCCCAAAAAAAGAAAATTTAACAAACTACCATCTGGTGTCGAATCTTTGTATATTATACCCCGTTATTATTATCATTTTCAATTTTACTGTTGTCAGCTGTAACTATTTTGGAAAATTAAATTTTTCCTAAATGTTTTTTCATGTTTGAATATTTGAGATTTCTTGGTTATAACATAAATGTTGACAAATAATGATTCATTAGCAACAACTTGGATAAACATCTTTATTTTTGTTGATTATTTTTTATGTTTTGCTGATATTTGTTAAAATTTTGGCAAAAAAAGGTTGTGATTTTTGTTTTTGATTATATCCAGAGACAAAATAAAACAGGAAAAAACAGGTTCTTCAAGTCATATATGAATCATCAACAAATCTGTTAGTTCATAAACTATCAGGTATACGATAAAAAAAAACTTTTTTCTTTTCTTATTTTCTTACTTATATCAAATTTTTTGATTTGATATCAACGATGATTATTATAATGCACCTGATCTAATGGTGGTCAAAGTAATGATTTGGATCGTAAAAGAGGTGGACGTTTTTATTGAATTGAAGAGAAAGTGTTGATATCATATGCAGCTCTTATGTTAAGGCAATAAAGATTGGCATAGTTATCAAATAACTAATTATAATTATTATGAAACAACAAATAAAAGTACTGAGTGCAATCGGTCATTTTAGCAGATATCGGCCAAGACATCATCCATGTTGTTTAAAAACATTTTCCATTCATAGCCTGAGTCGAAACATTGTTCATTCAGTTCCCATTAGATTGTCGTCGACCAAACAAGCTCGTGCAATTCAACTTACAAATAACACTTGTTTGAATTTTTCAAATTGCAACTTTAACTTTTGTGTATTCGAATATCAACAACGAAATATGTCGTATAATCGAAAAGTTTCATCTGATGTAAACGCTTTCCAGGATCAGCTCAACAGAGCAACTAAAATTGTTGTTTTGACTGGTGCTGGTATTAGTGCGGAATCTGGTATTCCAACTTTTCGAGGCGAAGGAGGTTTTTGGCGTAATTACAAATCAGAAGAATTGGCTACACCAGAAGCTTTTGCCAAAGATCCAGGCTTGGTTTGGCAATTCTATGAATATCGACGTCAATTAGTTTCATCAAAGGAACCAAATTTGGCACACAAATCATTGTCAATTTTAGAACAAAATTTTATTCGTGATTCACCACATCGTCAAGTGATAGTTGTTACACAAAATGTTGATGAATTACATCGTCGTGCCGGAGCAAAACGTGTACTCGAACTTCACGGATCGTTATTCAAAACCAGATGCACTCAATGTAAAGCAGTCAAGACTAATTTCACTATTCCAATAGTTCCGGTTTTGGAAAATATCAAATTGGATGAACCAGATCGTCATATTGATCCAAAAGATTTGCCACGTTGTGAAAAATGTACTGGCCTTCTTCGTCCACACGTTGTTTGGTTCGGTGAACAATTGGATCCATTCGTTTTGAAACAAGCTGAAGGATTGATGAGTGTTACAGATTTCTTGTTAGTCGTTGGTACCTCATCTGTTGTTTATCCAGCTGCATCATTAATACCACAAGCAGCTACACGTGGTGTAACTGTTTCCGAGTTCAATATCGAACAGACTGCTGCTTCTGAATATGCAAAGTAAGTTTTTTGATAACTTATTCAACCAAAAAAATGTGAATTTTCCTTACTAATGATTGAATTTTATTTTTCCGATCGTATTTAAATAGATACTTTTTCAAAGGTCCATGCGCTCAAACATTACCAAAAGCATTACAGATTGGTGAAACAATGATTTCGCATTGGGGTTAAATCATCAATACACTAATGATCAATGATAAAACTGGTTCCAAGGAATAAATTTATTCATCCATTTATAATCATTTCAATACATCTTTGTTCCTCATTTCCTCAGGAAATATAGTTTACTCATATAAAGATTTCTTTTTTTTCTCGGTAACGATATAGGAAGAAAAATAAATAAATTTCTCATTTATATCATTATTTTGAATTAACTAAATAAAATAATTGATTTCAATCCTTTTTTATGATATATTACTTTTCTTAAAGCGCTCTAAGGTTTTGTTTGTATTGAACAAATAATAATTTTTTATTTTAAATCGAAAAATCTTTATTTCAACGATTATAATATGTATTTTTATAGAGAATGATTCGTTTAAAAATATAAGTATTAAATTCAAATTCATCTGTTGATTTGTGGGCAAGTATATAGTTTTTGACTATATTTTGCATAGATATATGGTATTGATGAGAAATGTAATTTGTCATTTTGTTTCAGTCGAAAGAAAAAAAAATTGTGAGCCAAAATAATTTTGAAACCAAAATGAATCATAAGAAAAGCGAAAAAAGCACAAGAGTGAAAAGAAACGCAAAAAAAATTACAAAGATATAGAAATATAAAAAATAAAAAATAAAAATACAAAATATGATTGACTGAGAATAATCCTTGAGAATTGAAAAGATCATTTTTCGAAATTTAGGCTTGTGTAACTGAGAAAAGAAAAACACAAACAAAAACGATTTAACAACAAACGGCACGATGATAATGATAATGAATGAAATTTGAATATCAGGATAGCAAAAAACATGCAAATGAATTATGGAAATTGTTAAGGAAAAATGTATTTAAAAAAAGTTTCATAGTAGTATGCAAAGCAATTGGCAAATGAAGATGAATTTTTTTAAAAAACCGATATTTGGACAAAAAAATAAAATAAAAAATACGAAACTAAAACTTTAATGGGTTTCTGGAAATAATATCGCATCATTTAATAATAATAATAATAATAATTAATAGGTAATAATAAAATTGAATAATGGTAAGGGAAGGAAGGAAGGAAAGGAGAAAAAAAAGAATGATGAATAAACAAAACAGATTGTGCAATTGAAAGGATTAAAAAATTAATAATGGATCAATGTAATTTATATTTATATAGGATTTATCATATGTGATACTGTCAATTGTTATAAGTTTCGAATTTTTAATTGTTTGTCCATGATTTTATCATTGATGATGTTTAAATGAATGAATGAATGAATGAATGATGTGTATGAAAGGGTACAAAAAAAATGAAAAACAATGAAACAAACAAAAACAATTCAAATCAAATCAATATATATGACAAATAATAATGATCCAATCCATAACTTAACCAGTCAATTATTCATTATATAATGTATATAGAAAGAAAGAAAGAAATAATAATAATAATAATAAGAAATAAGAAAATATAACAAATAAGAACGATTTTTTTGTTTGTTTGTTTGCTGAAAATAATCATTTTATATATGAAAATGTGAATAATTTGTGTCAGTGTGTAGATGTTAAAATGCGATTGATGAATATTATAAAAAAAGAAAATGAAAAATAACTTTATGAATCAATTTCTTCAATTATCATTTGTCAAATACAATAATAAGAAACATTTTTATATTATAAATGAAAATAATTAAAATATGATTAACAAGATAAAATGTTGATGTGTATGTATGTATGGTGTTTGTATTTGTGTTTATATTAACCACATTTATATATATCTCAAAGGGAACGAACAAAGAATATGGAATAATAGAAAACAAAAAAAAATAATGAATGAATAAAATGAAAAAAAAGGATGGAAATAAATTGATGATGAACGGTGTTAATTTGTTTCAGTATCAATATTCAGCAACAATATCATATCCATTCGTTCGTTTCAATTAGATAAAAATCTCACTTTCGAAGACACATGAAATAATAATGATGAAATGATAAAAATCAATCCACTTTATGGTCAGGGTAATAATAATAATGATTTTGGTTGAATGATGAAGAAATGAGTCGAAAATTTCCCGTTGAGGATCGATAGGTAAGGTAGATAGTGAGTGGTATTAGTGGAATGACACTTGAAATCTTCATTTTTCATTTGAATAGTTTTTTTTGATCTGATACAAATCTTGCAAGTTTTCTCATGAAAAATGTTGAGCAAGAGTTGACACCCACTATTTTTTTTTTGGTTATTCTTTTTCAAGTATTAGTTCGAATTGACATTTCAAAGATCATCCAGAGAAAAAGAATCACATTTCATTGCAGACGATTCCGCTGTAAAGAAATTGAAAATAAATTAATTAAAAATGATCATCAAGGAAGAAAAATAGAAGTAAATACCTCGTTTGAGTGCAGCAGCATAGGCATATGATTGTGTGTTATTATTATTGGATCCGGGTGGAGCTACTAATGGTGGAGGAATTGGCGATCCTCCTAACAATGAATTTGATCCTGATCCATTAGTTAGATGATATGGCGATCCAAGAGCGGAATACAGATTATGACCATGACCATGATTATTAGTCAAATTGGCTCCATTCAATAGAGACGCTGCTGCAGCAGCAGCATTGTTGTTCATCGCAACAATATTATTATTATTATTATTATTGTTGTTGGCATCACTGGTTGTACCATTATTAGACATAGGACTTGATCCATTAATATCAATGACATCTTTGGGTACATCAACGAATTGATAGACTAAACGTTGACCATCGACTTTAGCTAAAATTCCACGTTGATAGTAATACCTATTCAAACATAATAGAAACAAACATTAGATCAAAAACATTTTCTAGAAGATGGATACCTTAAAGCTCTTCCCATTGTTTCATAATTCATGTCGGGCTTATTTTTATGTAAGCCCCATAAACGTGAAACAGCTTTCGAGTCGACCAGTTTGAATATACCTGTTGTTAACATAATGAAAGATTAATTATATAATTACACATGTTATAGATAATTTTCATTTTTATTTACCCTTTTCACGATTAGTCCATTTGATATAACGAGGACAATATTCTTTATCTTGTAACAATTTTAACAAAAATTCCCATAAATAAGTAGTTGAACCTGATGAATGATAAAGACTATTAGTTTTGAAAAATTAAAAAAAGGAAGAACTTACTTTCACGACTTTTGCGTTTCGTCGATGGCGTTAGACCATTTGGATTTGGATTAGAATTATGATTTGAGCCAACCGGTGTTAAGTTCGGTCCATCCAAAGCTTTAGGTTTTCGTCCCTTTTTACGTTTTAATGCTTGTACACCATTAACCAATGAACTATTACCATTAGCGGTCATTCCTGTTTGATTTAGATGATGAGCATGATGATGATATGGATGCAAATGATGTGAATCCTCGATCGATGTGGACATATTTAATGCTAGGATAACAGATGGCGATAAAATATTCATTAGTGCAAGTCCAATTTTATTAATTTGATTACCTTTACCATGATCACCAATTGAAGGACTTGTTTGAACAAATTGTTGACTATAGAATGAATCCATTGACAATGATGGTCCAGGTGGACGTCGTTGTTGTTGTGCAGCATGATGGATCAACGAACCACTGGCTGCCGCAGCCGCTTGTAATGCTGCAGACAATAATTGCTGTTGAGAACTTGTTTGATTAGTGCAAGAATTCGATGGTCCGGTATTCGATCCATTTGGTGTGGTCGATGATGGTGATTCTAAACTTTGTACTGCAGCAGCATATAGACTTGGATGAGCAAGACCATTCGCTTGATGGATAGGAGTACCGGTACGTGGTGGTGAATGATGTGATTGTGATCCATTTGTTGATGGATGAGTAAAACCATTGAATCGATTTTGAAGATGACCAGAAACGGGTGAATGTAACGCTAAAGGACCATCAGAATCTGTAAAAATAAATCACAAATTAGGATTAAAATATTGAAAAAACTATGCAATGTTTGTTTTAAAAAAAGATAGAAATTTCAAATAAATGGCAAATTTTGCAAACTGTCTGGTACAAGTCTCATCATTGAATTATTAGATAGTAGAAAAAAATTGCCAAATAATCACAATTTCTGAATTATTATCATAACTAAAAACAAAAATTTTATCATTGATTTCAATTAAATTATGGTTTTCTACAGCGAAATAAAAATGATCCTTCATGATCCCTATGCTAGACGAAAGAAAATAAATCCATTTTTTTCATTAAATCTAACTCTCTTCACAAGATCTATCATTTAAATTAATCCTTTTGGAGAAAGTAAAGAAAAAATATGATTTCGATTATGGAAAATATTACCATACGGGAATAAGAGCAATAAGAAATTTGACTCTTTAAAAATTAAATTCTTGGTAATGAAAAAAAAAACGGTATTACACAATCATTCTTCTTTATTTTTTTTTCCCAATCATAATATGATTGATTTGGTTGAACTTGGGTGCAGCGTTTAGAAATTTTCGAGATAAATATTTGCCTGTTGTTGTGTGTTGGTGTTGGTATCAACAATTATCATCCGGTCAAAAAAAATGTGTAGGAAAAAAACGATGTTTTCTTTCCACTTTCTCAAATTATATAGAAGGGTCAGGCGTTCTGGGTCTATATTCAATTAGCCATAAGTATTGTATATATTTCTAATTGGTATTGCAACAAGAGAGTAGAAACAAAAATGTTGGTGATAGGGGGAGCAAACGAAAGAAAAAAAAATCATATATGCAAAAAGTTTGCCCCATCACACAGATATTAATTCCGAATAAAAAATGACGATTTATATGTTTTATTAATATACGGGGCGCCATAAACCAACCTCATTCTTTTAATAACAAAAACAACAACAACAACAGCAACAAAACAAACGATGATAATAATAATATCAGTGAAAGTCGATGAACGGATTCAAGGTGAACAATCATTATCACCGTATCAGTATAGTTATCACCGTCATCATCATCATCATCAACATTTTTGGATAGTCAAAATCATCAGATCGAATTGTGAAATATGTGCAATATAATATATGTATACGCACACACATACCATATTGATCGAGACGATGCGTTTTTTTCCAACGATAACAACAACGAAAAAAGTATCATATCATATCATATCTTTACCATTAATAAAGTAACAAAACAAAACAAAAAAAAGTCCAAAAATCCATTTTACTAATCAATCCTATGGAATTTAAAACAAAATATTACTATATGAAAGTAACAAATCAGATAAACTTTATAATTTTCTTAATTTTTATTCCAAGATGGATGAATTGTGGTAAAATGAACGAGAAAAAAAAAGAGAATCGAGGTTATCTTTTATCTATTTTCACACACACCATAAATCAATGAAAATGGGGTAAGAAAGCAAAGGAAAAAAAAGAGAAAAGAAAAGAAACAAAACAAAAAAAATCAGTTCGACATAGTTTTATAATGATGGTTTTGTTGTTATTCGTAATCATTGTTTTTTGGGATCTTTAAAAAAAAGAAGATCATTATTATTGTATATCAATGTCATGGGGATTATTGAAAAGAAAACAAAAATCCATATATCATAAAATGATAGTTTTCATTTGGGAGATTTTTTTGGTTTCCAACAATCACTGATTTAATCGTTTCAGGAACAAACAAACATTTTAATGAAAAAAAAACTTTATCTTTTTTCATTTTTATTATCATAATAATTCTTTTTTTTATTGAATTCTAAAATTATTCTATAAATTCTATTTGTAATTAATTTTATAATTCGATAATCGTATACACAATAAAAAACCATTCTTTCAAACCAAAGAGAAAACAAAAATGGTAAACAAAAAACCCACACACACATTGTATCAAGAAAAAAAACAACCGGAACTAACATTTCACATTTGTAAACACATACACAGACACCAAATGAAATGAAAAATATTTATAAACTAAATTATCGAAAATAGTATCAATAATAATTTAAAAACAAGATGCTGATGAGAAGTAATAATAATGATATTATGTAAACAAAATTATAACATTGTGTTGATCATCATCAGTAATAGATTTCACACTTGAATTTTTCTTCTTTCTCTCTTTCTCTTTAGATTACTTCCAATCTTTTTTTTAGCTAAACACACATTATAAACAACTATGGTATTCGAAAACAAGGATATATGTTTTTGTATCCAAAAATAAATCATCAACAAAAATAACAACAACAACAAAAATTCAAAACGAAAACGTTGTCGCCCTTTGACCTTATTTTTATGAATTTAAGTAATATTGAGAGAGAGAGAAAAAAAGAGAGAACCAGACAAGATTGATTGAAAATAAGATGGGTGGTTGAGGATTTTTTTTTTGTTTGAAGATTTTTTGATATATATTTAGATTTTGAAATTTTATTTTGTTTTTGGTGATGAACCATGAAATAACAACAAAAAAAGAAAAGAAAAGAAATCAAGTTTGTTTGTGGATTCATGATTTTGGACTGTGTTCATGTTGAAATCATCAACGGAAAAATGAATGAAACGAGAGAAGAAAAAAAAGAGAAATTATTTCGGCCAGGACAGAAAAAAAAAACAAAAGGAAATCAAACCACCTGAAACAAAATAATGAAGACGAACCAAAATAGCCGAAAAGATATCATTTTTTTCATCTATGGTGGTTTTCGGATTCGTTTCGTTTTTCATCATTTTCTTCACAAATATGATGATTTTTCTAGGTTTTTTCCCTTTATAATCTGAATGCTTAAACATTAATGAAAAAATGAATGTTGATAACAAACACGAAAAAAAGGAAAAAGAAATTCCTATAAATATCATTTCAAAAGAAGGGCGAAAAAAAATGAAAAAGATAAAAATGGCCATGAAAAATAACAAAAACAACAATAATAAAAAGAAAAAACTAAAACATCCCATATAGACCAAACAACAACAACAACAACAACAAAATTATTATATAAACATTAGAAGGAAAAAAAGAACAACAATAACGACAAAAACGAATGAAGAGGTCGTGACCTCAAATCCTAATTTCCTTTTGAGATATTTTTTTTCTTTCTCTCTATCTTTATCCCCTTTCCTCCCTCAATAATCAACTTTTCGACAAGTAATGGATGTTTGTGTAATAGTTACAGCAGCAATAGTAGTTGTTTATTTTTCTCACAACAGATATCGGAAAAATGATTTGGATATTGATCAATTTTTTTTCCGTAAAATTTAAATAGAAAAATTTTCCAAAATAAAATACATTCCAATATACTAAGGTATGTTTAGGTATATCGGTGTATCTAAAGAATGACGGTGAGATTTTGTTTGAATTTAATAAATAACGGAATCGAACAGTTTAAAATTTCAACAACAACCCTCAAAAAAATTGATAAAATTTTCTTCGACAATGTCTAGACTAGACAAGCACAGACCATAGATCTTAGTCTAAAGAGATATTAATTTTTTTTCTGGTAATTTAACGGGAAAATTGTTAAATAAATTATATATTAACTATCGATGATTCGTTGGAAAAAATGCTAACAAAAAAAAATATTGAAAGTTATTTCCCAATCAACTATCATTTGAGAGAAGGCGAAAAATACATGCAATGAAAATTAATTTCAATAAAAATAGAAACAACCGTCGAAATGTGTGGAGGTGGTGGTGGTGTTGGTGGTTGGTAATGATGATTTAGATTGTTATTATTAATATTGCTGTTGTTGTCTGGATACGTCAGAAAGACAGTTGGTTGACCTGAAAATTTATGCAATTTTTTTTTACTGTTGTTATTAAAAAAAAATCTATATTAATGATGGTCAACTATTGCAAAGTAATAGAGAAAACAAACCCAGACATTTCAATATGTATTTCACAACAAGATGTAAAATATGAAAAATGTTTCTTTTGAATCATTTATATATGATAATAAATATTTACAGTTACATTTTTCCTACAAAGAAAAAAAAATTCTTCCGTAAAGTCAACCAAAATTGCAAATAATTGCGTAAATTTTTTTCCAGGGTGATTTATTAGAATTCTGATGATGATGATGATGATAATGAGATATTTGCCAAAATAAATATAATGAATAAATATCAATACAAAGAAAGGAAATGAATAATAATATAAAACAAACAAACATCAACGATTTCTTTTATGTTTGTTTTTTGTTTTTTTTAATGGAAACATCTTCAACAAAAAAAAATTATTAAACTAGAATAGAATGAGTCGCGCATAATCGTATATATTTTATAAAGCTAATGTCGTCAGTCGGTTTCAATGTCACTGGGTTGAATGTACCTGTGACTTTTATCAAGGTTAAGATCATAATATTTGGAAAGCCGATATAGCACAAATATCCAGATTCGTTCCAAGCAACAGAGTATTCTATACAACAACAACAACAAAAAGACTGCATGCAGTGGTAGTAAATTCAACAAGAAGTGTATTTAGGAAAAAAATGGCTTTTAATACAAGTACATTGTAGGATTCTATTTACAGAACGTGCGCCATTACATATTGTGGTTCATCATAATCATTTGTATTATTCACTATATAATACATATTTACAAAGGAAAGTTATTCGATTGAATTCTTTGAAATTGGATGCAAACGAACAAAAAAAAAACAAACTAGCTAAGAATATTTGTTGAACATTTTTTAAAACAAAAATCATAAAACAATTGATATATAAACCATTGGAATTGTCTGGTTTTTTTTGATCAGAAAAATGAATCTTTTATTGGTTTGTAAAAAACAATTAACATAAACAAAAATATAAGTGATTTGTCGATGAATTCCCACAGCAATATCGATCAAAAAACAAATTGATAGAATAGAAAAAAACGAATATTTAACAAATTTCCAATGAATTTGGTAAAAAAAAATATTCTCTATTCTAATTCTATGGGACAACAATAATAATTCAAAATTTACGTCAAAGAAAAAAAACTATTGTGAATAATGAAAAGAAAATAAGTAAAAGCAACAAGAGGGAAAGCCAAAATATCTTTCGATAACATCTTCAATGTTTTTTTTCTTTCATTCAATATTTCTAGGAAATAGTTTTCACGAATAGAATAGAAATCAGATTCGCAACAACAAAAAAACATTGCGATATGCTTCTGGGCGTCATGTATCATCGATTTACATGAAGAATGTTAATAATAATAATAATAATAATGAAAAGAAAAATCCAAACACAATCATATGAAAAATCGATTCTTCAGCCAAGAAAAAAAACCAAATCAACTGATTTCTTGTTATTCAGAATTTTTTCCCCTATTTTCTCTTTTTTTTATGGCTGTTGCTAAGCTATTATTTGTGTGTGTGTGTGTTAGTGTTACATTCCAAATGGATGATGAGAGAATGGCAAAAAATTATATCCGCCGGGCGTCATACACATGAATGTAAATTACAATTAATTGTCATTGTTAGGAAAATCGGACAAATGAATAACGGAAATTCATAACAATAAAAAAAATTGCAGAATCGACAATAAATAAAAAGTCAATGAAATGACTGAAATGACCGAAATTTTTTCTTGCAAACCGGAAAATATACATTTCAATCGATGTAAGTAGATCGGATGACTAGTATCACATTTAATGGTGAATACAAGAAAACAAGATAACAAAAATGATTTCATTCGGAAATCAAACGAATCTATCTTGCAAGTCATTGTTGGCGCTATATTAATTTTATATGACGGAAATCTCAAGTGATTTTCATCATTATTAGATCTTGTTTATCAACAGTTTCTATTTATGGATAATTTATTTATTATGAATTTATATCGACACTTACATTGTGTTGAACTAGTTGGCGCAGAATTACCAGATACTGATGTATTTCCTCCAGCAGTAGATGCAGCAACTAATGCTGAATTTTGTTGCTGAGACCGTGTTTGTCCATAATAAAATGAATTCTGTTGATACGATTGTTGTTGTTGTTGATGATGATGATGATGATTTTGTTCATCATTCGAACTGTAATGAGAATCAACATCGCTAACACCAGAATCTGCTGGTGATGGTGGTAACGGACTATTTGTATTTGTTGTTCCGGTTACACCGGGTGTTGATGATGATGTCGTTCCCGTATGATGACGATTTGTTGGTGACCATCGATTATTTGATATTGTTTGATGATGATGTAATTGATGATTTAAATGATGTAAATGATGAGCTGTAGTATGATGTGGATGATGATGGCCAATATTATGATGACCAGGATGATGTGTACCAGATGTATGTTGATGATGTTGCTGAAGTATATTTTGTAATAGATTCGTTGTTGCGGCGGCATTCGCTGCTGATGATGACGATGAAGATGATCCACTTGAACCATTCAAAACGACCAGATTATTTTTATTATTATTGATATTTGTTGTAGATGTTGATGATGAATTTGATTTATTCACAGCAATTGCAGTCGGCGTCGATGATGATGATGATGATGAAGATGATGATGGTGATGATGATGAAGTTGATGATGGTGATAATGAATTTGATGAGGAACTAGCCAATTCTGATGAACTTGGTTCACATCCATCAACTATTTTTTAATGAAAGAAACAAAAATCAATTAATATTAGCACTAAATATTTTCAAATGAAATTTCAATATATAATTGTCATTATCACAATAATTTTTGATCCAAAAATAAATCAACATAATGAATATATTTCAAGGAAAAAACAAAAAAAAAATATGCATCAAATTAAATTGTATTGACCTTAACCTTATATGAAAGTCTTATTAAATTCAATGATTCATAACGACTTAATTATTTTCCAAAAATTTTTGTTTCATTTAAGAATGGCCTTGGCTTTTATTTTGTTGTTGTTGTTGTTGAAACATCTGTGAATGCTTACGTATGTACATGAGACATATATAACAACAACAACAACAAAAATTGTACATTCAAAAAAGTTGTTGACCTGATCTTTTGAAAATAAGATTCGGCAACAACAAAACGATTTATTTTTGTTTGGATTCAATAATCCGAATCCAAATCCAAAAAAACTGATAATAATCATCATAATCATTCTATACTATGATTCTTTATAAGTTTGCAAATTAATTATGATTATTTTATCACAGAAATCTTTATTTTCCATTATATAATGTCCTAATTCAAAAAATTTTTGTTGAAAAAGATGAGTTTGTTGTTGATGCTGCTAGTGTTTTTGTCTTTTGATACAAAACAGAAATCTGAAACAAACAAACAAAAAACGATACATGAACAAAAAGCTATAGATCAAGGTTACGTGACAATGTAAACTTTTGAAGAAAAAAAAGAGCCAAATTTCCAAATTCAGACTTGTATTTTTTTGTCATTGTATATGGATAAAGTATCCATAGTGCGTGTGTGTTTGATGGAAAATAACCAAAAAAACAACAATAAGGGGAGAAAAAACTTTATCATTTATAGATCAGTATATCAAGGGAAAATTGGGGAAAAATTGGAAAAGGAAAAAAAATATTTATCCTCTGTGTGTATTTGAGAAGGAGTGTGTCAGTGTGTAATCATTGCATTCACAAATAGACCTTATATATTTGAGAGTAAAGCACACATACAAGAAGAGATGTGATGGGTGACCTCAATTTATGTATGTCTAAGTTTGAGGTCACACTCACACAATACAATACATCTGTGTGTGTGTATGTCAAATAAGTTTCCATTTTTTTTTTGTCGAAAATCGTAGGAAGCTCTTAATATTTGTTAGTCGAAAAAAACAACAACGTTTTGTTTCCTCTATTTTGAATCAAATCTGTGTGGCTGTTGTTACGAATATTACGAATCGAAACAACCGTCGAATTTTAACGAATAATGTATTCGGTTGAGTAAAGGCAATATCTTTTTTTGCAATTTTGCCGGATAAAATAGCCTTGATAAAAAGAAACCGATGACAATGGATGATGATGAATGAATGAATGAACCACGTACGCGTTACCGTACCGAACCAAAAAAATATGACAATGAAACGGACCATTGACCGGGAAGTGGCCAGAAAAAAAAGTGAAAGTTTTTTTTTCTTTTCACCAATATCAAATATATTGAACATCGGAACACGCGTTTGACTCGGGTCAATGTTTAGTGTTCCAGGAAAAAAAATCAATAATTTTATCACTATACAAAGTTAATTTGAATTTGTTCCATTCAAAAAAAAATGAAACTGAAAAAAAAGTAGATCATTTTTTATAATTTTCTTATTTGTTAAAATGAATCTACAAGGACTCCAATGATTCAGGATTCAAAATATGACATTGACACTGAAAAAAAACTCAATGCGTGTGTGTGTGTCAATGTTAGCATTGAATAATACCATTTTCAATAAAAATTACAAAAAAGAGAACGGAACCTTGTAAAAATTGCATATTATAAGGGAAAAAAACAAGAAGGGGCAAGCAGCTGCTGTGTTATACTTTTTTGTTGTTGTTGTCCATGAATGAATGTGATCAAGAGAGCAAAAATATTTGCAAAAAAGATCTGTTTTCAATAAGATGGGAGCAGGTCAATGGAACACCCGGTCGCCTGTTTTTATTTGCCAACTATACTTTGTTCCATTCTTATGTATTGTATTAGCCAAATTTCAAATGAATGAATAAAAAAAATTCAAATGAACAATTGAGCAATCGGTAGATTTGACAACAGCTCATATCATACAATGAAATGAAATTAAAATTAAAAATCCAACCAAAAAAAAACAAGATCACGAAAGAGTAAAAAGAAAATGATTTCAAAAAAAATTGGAACAACAAGGAAAACAACGATAATGATGACAATCGTTGTTATTCGTGGAAAGAAGGAATTACAATTATAATTCCCAATAACAAATGAACAACATTGGTCATCAATTGAGCTGGTGGTGGTTGGAAACGAACGTAGAAAAAAATGAATGCATGAATGATCTCAATAGTTTGAAAATTCCCTAGCAATTTGTTCTTCATGGAAAAAAAACAAACAAAACAAAATTTCAAGTTCACCAAACTTTTCATTGTTGTTTTTTTTTCGCAAGAAAAAAAAATTAATTTCCAATTACGTCATTCAATTATAAATTATTATCAACATTTTTGTAATTGTTTAAAACAAAACAAAAAATTTTTAAAGAAAAATAACATCAAAATTGCTTTGTTTTAATGATTGTATTTGAGGATGATGATATATTTTGTACGTACGAACAAAAAAAAACAAGAAAAAACTACGTACTTTGTTCGTAATTGTGCTAAAAAACAAAAAATATATCACTTTAAAAAACAACTTATTTTTCTTCCAGTTAATTTTTGTTGTTACTATGTAGCTACAAAAATCGAGGACCTTGAATTGGGTCGATGGCACCGGAACTTTCAACAACAACAACAACAACAACTGCATCATACTTATATCATAATAATTTTGTTTTACATGTACATTTTATGAGATCGCATACGTAAATTGATGTTTGTACATACACATCATCATGCTAAAAACACGGAGGGACTACTATATAATAATAATATTGAAAAGCTGCCATGATGTGGTGGTGATGATGAGGATCAGGGAATTTCATGATCAAGGACAAATATCAAAAAAAGATTTCGTTGTTGTTGTTATTGTTAATTTATCTATAGATTCTTTAGAGAATCAAGAATAATAAAATGGATGCAGTTCAAAAACAAATTCCATTCAATCAATTGATTCTGTTTGTATAAAAACAAAAATCGATATCCGAGAATAATATTAATATTGAATTTTAAACACCGACGTTAATTGAAATCATTAATGTTTTCGTTTTCAATATTCAAATGTAAAACGAAAAAAAAACATTACCATAATCCAATCGAGACAGAGACATATCAGAAGTTTATTTTAAAAAAATGCTTGGGTCATGAATTTTCTAATAGATTTGATTATTTGATATTTTTTTCAAAGAAAGAAAAAAAAGAAGCCTTAATAAAACCTACTATAAGATTATTGTTTTTTTGTATTAAGGATTATTATCATCATTCCACCTTAGTTATTTGTGGGTGTTTTGGGGTTGTTGTTGATGAAAGCAAACAATAATAACTGTTTATGACTTATTTATAAATCTATATAGCAGTAGTAAAATGTAATGGATTGTTGGGAAGAAAAAAAGAAAACATCCACATAATGATGATGAGGCGAATTTCTCTTTCTTTACACTCCTTTACTTTTCACATCAGCAATCCGTTTTTTTACTGTTTGATAATATTAATGACAAAAGTATACGAACGAGAGGGACATTTTCATCATTTTTTTGTTTCTAGTTGAAATGAAATGAATAAAATGATGAAATTTTCTTCATTCATCATTTAATTAAGTTTAGTTCAAGTTCAAGGTGAATAATAATAATAATAATCGAAAGGGAATAGAAAGAAAAAACTTTTTTTTGTTTTGTTTTTACAATTAATGATTCGTTTTCCTAGGAACTATACAATTGAAAATTTTCCAATCAAGAGGCTCCTCATTTTTTTTGTTTGTTTGTTTGTTTGGCAAAGAATGGACAACAATTTTTTTTCCTGTTTAACGCGTTCGCTACCGGAGATTTCGAAAAACACATAGAACTACAGCAAATAAACGACGCATATATGCGTCGCTGGTAGCGAACGCGTTAAAATTTTCAAACGGAAATTCCAACCAAAAAATGAAATGTTCGTATGATGATTGATTTATTGTTTAAATGAATGGTTTTTTAAGGATAATATTATCATAAAGATTTATTCATAATCAACAACAACGATAATGGACAACTGATGTATATACTTTGTTTCAAGATTTTCTTTTCACTTGTTTTCGTTTGGTATTATTATCAATTTCCAAAAAAAAAAAATATTATCAACCCGTTATATGATGATTACTAGGAAATTTTTTTTCCTATTTGTTTTGAGTGTTTGCAAAAAAAACGCTGTAATCGTAAATTTTTGTTTTAGGTAATAATTCTTAGCTAAGAAAAACAAAATCTAAAGAGGAAACAAAATGTTGATGCCAAAAAAAAACAACTACACTAATCAGCAAAAAAATAGGATACCGGTACTGTTAAACACACACACACATATACGTTTACGATAACAACCGAAAAAAATGATGCAATTACATTGATTATATGATATTTTGTCTATTTGGATTATTTGGATGATGATAATGATTTTTATGTTATCTCATTATGTTACCGTGATTATAACAATAATCGAAATACCTTTTTTTTTCATGGAAAACAAATTGAAAATGTTAAGGAATGATTCATTCCCGCAAACAAACAAACAAAAAAAAAACTTTATTTTCGATTGTTAAAACAATCTTTTTTACTTTCAATTTTCTGTTTATATGACGAACAACAGCCAAAGTGAAAAGGAAGGAAGAAAAAATGGAAATTCATTAAAAATAAAACATCGTCATCATTTTAATCAAAGAGTATCATAGAATGTTTATAGCAAAAACAAAAAAGAAAACATAAACAACGGAATGATCTTCGTCATCATCATTATTATCATCACATCACATCACATCACATCAACAATGTCATTTGTCATATAATAGAAAAAAAACAAATA